TATATGGATATAGATCCGACAGTATGAAGAAAAATATACGGAAAAAACAAGCAAAAATCCTAATATGCAATTATGCTGTTTTAATGTTACTATAATGTCAACGTCGGACGTTTTGGTCTAATAGACCATCTTCAGGACATATTCATAAAACATAATTAATATTAGACCATATTCAATTCAACATGAAAAAGACGATGGACAATCCAAACAGATAACTGAAATCTTTTATAAGATCAGCGTTCCGTTTAAATATGATCACGTCGTCGTCACGTGGGCGATGTTGTGAAAACGTATTCCTAAAATTTGAGTATTAATGTTAATTATGTTTTATGAATATGTCCTGAAGATGGTCTACTAGATCGAAACGTCCGACGTTGACATTATATTAACATTAAAACAGCATAATTGCATATTAGGATTTTTGTTTGTTTTTTTCCGTATATTTTTCTTCATATATGTATATATATATATATATATATATATATATATAAACAGGTATATGTGTATTGACATACAATAAGGCTAACAATAGACAAATACGATAAGCAGTGCGTATGAAATAACGAAGAAAATTTGTGGTCAAAGTATGTGTAAGTCAATAAGAATGTTCGTGCGTACGTGTGTGTGTGTAATATTCATGCGTGTTTCCCGAATGAAACACATAGCATCCGCACCTTCACAAAGGGGAAAAAGCATCGTAGTATATCAGTTGAAAAGTGAGAAGAGAACAAGACGAGATTTCGCCAAGTATATGCAGTCAATTGAGAGCGTCCCCAATTAGCGATTTCAAAAACTAGGAAATTAAGGAGGAGGTAACTCCGACATACATATTATGACAAAGTGGAAAAAAGGTTACTTGTGAGGCGTTAGGTCATTCAGGACTTCATCGGACTAATTTTGTTATCTTGGTTGGACTACACATGAGCACGGCAGAGGAGTGCTGGGTATTTTAGAATATATATATATATATATATATTTTAGCCAGATTCATTTAGAGTCTTTTTCTTTTTTCTTCCATCACTTTTGTGAGTAGGTATGCCATACTGTGGTATTACAAGATCTGTCAGAAACGGTGATATATTGTAAGAGCCAGTGCGCAAATTTACTGAAGATGACCTTGTAATCAAGGCACTCTCTAGACATTTACGTCGTAGTTAATCATTTTCTCCTTTAATCAGAGTAACATTTTTTATATCAAAATTGTGGCCAGTTTCGTTACCAATGCATTTGACGTATTATTTTGAAAACTGTCCCTTTTGTGTTCATGTGAACTTTAATTTAGATTCCTTGAGTTTTCTTCTATGTATTTTTATGACAATTATTGCTGGCGATGAAGTAAAATCCCCCTTCAGGTTTTAGCTTATTGTATTATTGTAAAATTCCCAGCACCTCTCTGTCGTGCGTATGTAATAGTCGTATCAACATAACAAATTTAGTCCGATATAATGTTTTTTTTTATGTAGCCGAATTCATTTAGAGTCTTTTTCTTTTTCTTTCCATCACTTTTGTAAGTAGGTATCCCACACTGTGATATTAGATCTGTCAGAAACGGTGATATATTGTAAGAGCCAGGGCGCAAATTTACTGTAGATGACCTTGCGATAAAAGCGTTCTCTAGACAGTTACGTTGTAGTGAATTATTTTCTCCTCACCCCTACAAAAATTCTAAAATTCCCAGCACCCTCCTGATGTGCGCGTGTGTCGTCCTACCAACATAATAAAATTTGTCCGATAAAGTCCTGAAGGATCAAACGCGTCACATTTTCCAGTTTGTCATAAATTTTCTTTAATACTGTTCTAGATATATAAAAATAAATATCGCAATCTCGTATATATATATATATATATATATATATAAAAGAAAGGGGTTATAGTGGTTCCAACGAGAGAAAAGTGTGTATATTAAAAAGAAGAGAAGAGAGGTGCCGCAAACGTTTTTGGTTGTAATGTGGATTTTTTTAGAAAAAAATATTATGGTTTATTTTTCATAATTTTACTACACGTGTTTCTGGTCTCGCGACCGTCTTCAGGTAAAAGCGGAGATTTCCACATATTATTAAAAAAAATTAATTTTTTTCCTTTATATTTTTCAATGTTAAATATTCTCGATATTAGACATTCTCTGTTTTTGTGTTAGTAATCCGAATGTCTTTCTTGAATTCTTTAACACACACACACACACACACACACACACACACACACACACACACACACATATATATATATATATATATATATATATATATATATAATTAAGTTATGAAGAACTTGGTAATCCGTATAGATAATCCCAAGGAGGATGAAATCCTGAGAGCTCAATGTAACTCCAGAGCTAATATTTAAAAGAAAAACAGACCACTTTTAAGGTACCATTATAATAATTTATTTCACTAGGAGTCCTTTTAAAGGACGCCGGATCATCAGATAGCACTTCCAAAATGAAATGAAACGAATATATATATATATATATATATATATATATATATATATATATATATATATTAAGCATATCGCCCCTAACAAAGGGGAAGCCACTAACACGCAAGGGGTTTATAGACGATTTGGAGCGAGAGCAGATAGGAGGATAGAGGAAAGGATGAGGAGAAGGATAATGGATAGATCAAGGCAACTGGAGATGTCAATTGACATTACATTTGAATAGTTGGAGATTAAAGCTATCAGGGAAACTGGAATAGGGAAGGGAGTTCCACAGGCGAGAGGTGCGAGACATGAAGCTATTGGAGTAGAAGAGACAGCTACATTTAATAGTTTCAACAGTGAAAGGGTGAGAGCGGGATGCCAGCCTCGTAGAACGCTTGAATTCATGAAGTCTGGGAACCAGCCAAAGCAGCTCATCGGAGCAATTACCATGAAAGTATTTGTAAAAAAAGACAGAGAGAGGCGACAGCGCGTCTGTGAGAGAGTGACTGTAGACGAGATGCCAGATCAGAGCCAATTATTTTGCATATCCGTCTCTGGATCTTATCAAGAACCCCGAGGCAAACAGAAGGGGCTCCAGACCATATATGGCAGCAATACTCCATGCAATGGCTAATGGTTGATTTAAAGGATCGATTCCGGGGAGAAAATATATATATATATATATATATATATAAAACTTAAAATAATCCTGAGGAGCAAGGCAAACCTACCTATATTTCACCTAAACGGATCTTCAGGATAAAGCTGGCTGAAAAGGAAAATTACAGATATATATATATATATATATATATATATATATATATATATATATATATATATATATGTATGTGTATTTGGTTTAATAATCTGGACATATAATATCTACTTTTTATGTTTTAATCCTCGCAAATTCTCTGATGGGTTCCTTAATGTTGATATTAAATCCATTAAGGAAAACGCCGTAGTTTTTTTTCATTTCTTTTATTTTCACAAGCATTTTCAATCTCATCCGTGATCATCGTCAGAAGTGAATTGCTAAGAGAAAATATTAATGTAATTGATAGTTGTGAATTTTTTTGTAAATGCGCATGAAACGCGCTCTGTTATAATTAATATAAAAATTAACTATTACAGAATTCGAGGGGATTAAAATAAAATAAATAGACATTATATGTCGAGATTATTCAACCGAACATGCTTGATTGAATATACGCTGCCTAAATATATATATATATATATATATATATATATATATATATATATATATGTGTGTGTGTGTGTGTGTGTGTGTGTGTACTGGGTGTAACAGAAAAATTGTCCAAATCGTGTAACAGCATGCGATAATTGTTCATCCCACAAAATGTTTAGCATCGAAAAAACAGTAAACTAACTGACTTTCAGACGTTTAGCCATCTTGACACCATTTGTCGTAAGAATCGCTGAAAAACCCTTAGAGTTATTTAGCTAAAAAGAGAACGTGTTAAAATTGTTTTGTGTCAGCCCAACTATATCTTCCCAACTGAGCAATCTTGCCAACATTCATATTCTGGCTTCCATCTTCAAAGTTTATTTCAGAACCATCAAGAAAATGGTGAATAAGTTTTATAAAGAGGGAACAGTAGATGGGAAAACTGGATCCGGGTGTCACAACAGGAACAGGGATCATTTCAACTTAGGGCTAAATATATTTTTATTGTTCAAAGTAGAGTCCAATAGTGTTATAAAAACCCGGAGAATTCCAGTAAGATATCTTTAATCATTTCTAAGTTAAACGGTTCAAAGCATAATCTAACAATTGGACAATTTTGCTCTTACACGATTTGAACAATTTTGCTGTTACACCAGGTGTCCATAAAGTTCGTATGCACTTTAAAAAATTTATAACTTCATTTGTCTTTGCGATAGAAATAATTTGTAAAAAGGATTAGAAAGAAGTAAATCTATACTTTTTTAAGGTTTTATTGAAATTCTATTTAAGTTTCCACATGTCCTCCATCATTAGCAATACAAAGGGTAATACGATTTTGCAGTTCACAGAAAATATTTGCCAACTGATTTACAGTAATGCCTGAAATCACATTAGTTATTTTAGCTATACTTAAAACTAGGTACATTAAACTTTATAACATCTTTTACAGATTATTTCTATGGCAAATACAAATAAAGTTATAAAATTTTTAAAGTGCACGCGAACTTTATGGACACCCTTTACAATATCGATTCATTGGTCGGTGGGAATTCATTTTTTTAAAGTCTTATTAAAAACAGAGCAGTGAAAAACTCACAAATTTTTCCAGTGACCTGATATTTAATTTGTTTGTGCTAAAAATGTCTAAAGCAAAGCACGGGAAGTGATTAATTTGAGGGGGGGGCAACCGAAGGCGCTCAACAAATTAAAAAAAAAGAACTTTTTTTTTTCTTTCTCTCAGTGTCTCTCTTCAAAACCACAGGTGTTGAAGAAAAAAAAAAGAAGCCTGTAATCTTTTCGTTCAATTGTCTCTGGTCTTCCTTCCACAGGTGTCTGTAGCGTTTGTAACCTTCTGAGAATTTCAATCCCAACACTGTTTGATCCACGGCATATGTCATTGTGGCTCTTGTTTAACTACCACGTCAGTGTGGCCTTCTCTTTCAGAATTCGGATATTTCAATTATTCATTCTCATATTCTTCTTCTTCTTCTTCTTCTTCTTCTTCTTCTTATTATTATTATTATTCTTTTCTTTTTCTTCTTCATATCATTCTCCTTCTTTTTCTTCTTCTTGTTCTCAGTTTCATACTTCTTCCTCTTCTACTACTTCTTCTCCGTCTGCTTCTTCTTTTTTTCTTCTTCTTCCTTTTCTTCTTCTCCTTTTCCTCTTCTTTCTTCTCCAGCTTTTCTTCTTCTTAGTTTCATTCTTCTTCTTTTTCTTCTTCCTCTTCTCCGTCTGCTTCTTCTTTTCTTCTTCTACTACTTCTTCTTCTTCTTCTTATTATTATTATTATTATTATTCTCCTTCTTCTCTTTTTCTTCTTCTTCTTCATATCATTCTCTTTCTTTTCTTCTTTTTCTTCTTCTTCTACTTCTTTTTCTTCTTCTTCCTTTTCTTCTTCTTCTTCTCTTTCTTTTTTCTTCTCCTGCTTTTCTTCTTCTCCTCCTTTTCCTCTTCTTCTTCTTCTTCTTCTTCGTCTTCTTCTTCTTTTCAGTTTCATTCTTCTTCTTTTTCTTCTTCCTCTTCTCCGTCTGCTTCTTCTTTTCTTCTTCTACTACTACTTCTTCTTATTATTATTATTATTATTATTCTCCTTCTTTTTCTTCTTCTTCATATCATTCTCTTTCTTTTCTTATTTTTCTTCTTCTTCTACTTCTTCTCCGTCTGCTTCTTCTTCTTCTTCTTTGCATTTAATCCCATCAGAAGGTAGGCGAACATAGCTCTCCATAATTTTCCTTTGTAATTCTGACTTAAGTTTCTTTTGTCACCCTCCCTCCCATTCTCTGTTGTGCCACCCATTTTCAAAACCTTGCCTTTCTTTGTCCTCTTTTTCTTCACAATATACTGGTTCTGGTCAAATAAGTGTCTATTTCTCTAAGCCCTCTTTCCTCCACATGTGTCGTAGAAATTCCAATTACCTCTTTCTGATTCTAAGTATAAACGTTTCCATTTTTCTTGAAATACTCTCGTTACTTACACGACCCATCCGTGGTATTCTCAGCATACTTCTGTAGAGCCAGATCTCCGTTGCCTCTAGTCTCTTAATCCACGAGGAAATTGTCGAAAATTCACTTCTGCATATGTGGAAACATATTACATAATAGTTTAGGACATTTTGTTTGTTATGAAATCTTCCTGTTTCTTAATTATTTGCTTAGCTATTGGAAGGCATCTTTCGTCATTGCAATGTGCGGCGAAATTATCTTACGGCAAAAATTCTATGCGGCAAAGCTTACTTCGACGAGAATTCCTGAGGCAAGTTTTCCTACGGCAAAAATGTTTATGGCGAATGTTGCTAAAACCCCAAAATAGGACGAAACGGCCGGGCAGTGCTTTCTGTTGAGGATTCATGTAGATTCACTGAGTTACTTAATTATGATTAAATATTTATATATCCGTTCGGACTTTATGTACGAGAAACCTTTTTGTACATCTCCATCCCCACCCCAAAGTCTGGTTAACGAAAGATTTCTTAAAAAAACAAACGGGGTTATATATATATATATATATATATATATATATTGCTAATGACAAGCTGTATACAACTATGTGACCTTAAAATGATCCTTGTATTATCAATTAGAATTTTCATTAAGTGTTCTTAGAAATTATGAATTAATAAATCTTTATTAATCGCATTCTGCTGCGACAGGTGGCATGTAGAACGTCTACTTAAGGAGGTAGTGGTGTGTCCGATATAGGTCATTGGTTTTTGACAAGTAACACAGTCTTGTGCAGTATATTGGTACCTGCTAGTTTAGATTTGATGGGGTTATTTGGGTAGGCTTGCGGTCTTCCCTTTCAACAATATATTATAAACTTTATGTTTTCCGGACATTAACGTAGAGGTAGGATATTTAATGATTTTCCTTATGGCAAATTCTTCATTTTGCTTATAGTAATTGTGCATCTGGTTGCAATAAAATATATTGATGCTTCGTGGTGTTGTATTTTTATTACGGGCATCGTGTATTTTTTGTAAGAATAATTTCATTTGCCTATCAATGATGTAGTTGGGAAAATTATTGTAGTCTAGTGTTTGGTTTGTGTGATTTGGTTCACCTGGAAACATTCTTCGGGAAGAGGAATATATATATATATATATATATATATATAAATATATTTTATTTTTAAACGTTCTTTTTTATAGATACAAGTATTTAAGTAAATGCTCTGTTTATAATAAACAGTATTAAATAACATTTACCGGCCTGAATGTCCGAGAGATTTTCATAGAAAATATTCGTCCTTTGACAGGGTTCGAACCTGCATCCTATACGGAACCGTCATTTACGCTGACGTGCCTAACTTCTCGGCCACAAAGAACCTTTTCGGTAGACAAGGTCGAATTTACTGCTTATAAACTTCAATCTTCAATGAATCTCGTACATTCATAACTGCTCTGGCGTATCAAATGTAAACAAATGACGTCATATATTAAGAAATGGACAAGGTCCGACAATTTATTTATTAAAGACATTTTTTATGTTTAACGTTCTTTTTTATAGATACAAGTATTTAAGCAAATGCTCTGTTTATAATAAACACTATTAAATAACATTTACCGGCCTGAATGTCCGATAAATTTTCATTGAAAATATTCGTCCTTTGACAGGATTCGAACCTGCATCCTATACGGAACCGTCATTTACGCTGACGAGCAAATTTTCATACATTTTATGTGTAAAGATACATTTTATTAAAAAATAGTAATAAACTTACTTAATTCTTATTCTAACAGAAATTAATGCATTTTTTTCATTTTAACTGATAAAAAAAGTATTCGTACAAAACAAAAAAAAAGCATATTAACTTAATTTAATACTTTGTGGAATATCCTTTATTGAGTTCAACAGCTACCAGTCTATTCCTGTACGTCTCAACTCATGATTTGCACACATTGAGTGGTATTTTGTCCCATTCTTCTTAGCATATTGTCTTCAAATTCTTGATATTTGTTGTTGCTCTTTTCCCAATTTGAATTTTCAAATATCGCCATAAATTCTCGATCGGGTTCAAGTCTGGGGACTGACTTGGTCATTGCAAGACATCAACGTTACTTTCAGCTAACCATTTCCTTGTAGATCTAGCGGTATGCTTAGGATCATTATCCTGTTGGAAAACCCAATCAGGAGGTAGCCGAAGTCTCTCAACAGAACGCATTAAATTGTCTTGCAGGATTTTCTGGTATGTTTCGGCATTCATCTTGCCAACTATTCTTGATATTCTGCCAACACCTTTTGCAGAAAAACAGCCCCAGATCATGATACTGCCACCACCAAACTTTACAGTTGGCAACGTGTTCTTTGGTAAGTAGGCTTCACCGTCCTTCCTCCACACATGATTTCGATAATTATGACCAAACAACTCTATTTTAGTTTCATCTGTCCATAGCACTTTTTCCCAAAACGAATATTCTTTATCCTTATGCTCTCTAACGAATTTTAGCCTGTCGTTTCAAATAGGAGTGAAGTCTTCCTTGGGATGCGTGATTTCAGACTGTTTTTGTGTAGTTCATTACTTATTGTACGCTTGGTTACTTTAATCCCTAATGCACGCAAATGTTCCTGCAGCTCTTCTCGGGTAACCTGTGGATTTTGTTGGATCTGGCGTCCTAATATCCTTGCTGATCTTCGGGGCACCTGTTTGTCTTTGGTTTTCGACGCTGTTACGAGTTTTAAACCTTGCAATGAACGAAGCAATTGTAGTAAAAGGAATATTCAGGTTGTTAGAAATCGTTCTGTAACCGTTCCCATCATTCCAAAGAGATAAAATGTATTGTTTTTGTGAAATAGTCAATTCTTTACCTTTAGGCCTTATTAGAACCTTCTCGTAAGACTAGAAATTGCAGAATGCTCTGATAATGGCTAATAGCGTTAACTATAATTACTGATAACATTACTGGAACATTCTAGAATATACTTTTTTCATAATTAATTGATTACTTTATTCTAATAATTGATTTGTACGAATACTTTTTCACCAGTTAGAATTAAAAAAATGCATTAATTTCTCTTAGAATAAGAATTAATTAAGTTCATTATTATTTTTAATAGTATGTGTCATTATACATAAAATGTGCCGAGATTTGTTTTATTTAAGGCTTTTACATTTATAAAAATACAATTTTTAAAGTACGAATATTTATTTCCCACAACTGTATATATATATATATATATATATATATATATATATATATATATATATAGTGTATTTAGGCAGCATTTATTCATTGATGCATGTTTCATTACATTATATAGACAAGTGTTATTTTATGTAAATTCTCTTCATATCGTCTGATCAGCTTAATAACACGAGTTTGTCGTTGCTTGGCAATCATCCATGTAAACAGAAACGGACTATCATCACTGATTTGTCCGTGTATTGCTTAATATATTGCAATGTAATTTTCATCTTTGATAATGACTTATGTAAGCCGAAAGCTTAGATAGGATTAAAAAATATCTATCAATATTGTGATTTTCTTTCTTCTTTTAATGATAATGTTATTAAGCTTATCAGACGATATGAAAAGAATTTACATAAAATAAATAGACAACACTTGTCTATATCATTTAATTAAACATGTATCAATGAAATATATATATATATATAATTATTTATTTATTTAAAAATTATAACATAAATATGTTATTAAATCACTACAAAAATAGCCATTTTGTTTCAACACCTCTGGTGTCTTATCAAGTGATGATGTTGAATGTAGATTGTAGAATAAAGGTTTTAAAATGTTCAAATTAATTAACCACCCCTCGTAAGGGGAAACGCTGTCACATGAGCTGAAATGACCAATCAAAATACAAGTATACGAGAATTAAAAAAACTTGACAACGATGTAAGGTTATAATAACTATTAAATGTTTCAAAGATGGGTTTATACTAAAATAGAATTTATTCTAATAAGTATTAAATTATACGATAAAATTTGAAATTAAAATTAAAATGTACCCACTTCAAAAATGTAAATTTAATCTATATTAAGTTTAAAATTTTAAAATTATTGAGGAAAAAAAGAAAAAATACATATATTATTCTATTCATTTTGTTTCTATTGAAATTACGTTGGAATAAACGTTAACATCGACTGCCCTTAACTTAAAGACAACATGGATACAAGTGTAGACATAGGATTACAACATCTTGCGAAAGACAATACAAACACAATCAGATTATAATACATAAGCACGCACACATATTTAGATATATACACACACAAAAAAGTGATTGAGCACTCTTTTAATAATAGTAATTTTGGTTATTGGAATTTATTCCGTATACACCAATCATATACTTGGGTATATATATATAGGAACGCACAATTGTAAAATTTAAATTCAAATTCAACGTTGCGACTGCACGCTCCAAAAACAATAACTCATTTCCAATAGCATTTTTCGGATTACAATACATATATTTTCGTTGTCCTCTTATTACTGAGAGTAAAAACAAGAACAAAATCTATTCCATACCTGAGGATGTCTGTAGGAACAGACGAAAGCTTGTAAAAATAATAAGAACTTATGCAACAGGAATTTATAAAAACAAGGATCTTTTCATTCATAAACAGGTTCGGGGTTTTTGCATATTATTTGAATTGTTCGCGACGATGGATTTCTCGCCAATTAAATCATTAACCTTTGTATTTGTTTTTTGTATGAATAATTCATGAATTTGTAAATTAATTGCATT